TACTCCAATTCACCAATCAATTCTTCAAGGAGATCGGTGGGCAAGCTATCATTGTAAAGATGATGTCGCCGAGCCCTACCCAAGGAGATCAGCCGCTGTTCGTGTCCGTTGAAACCTACGGCCCACTTAAATTGCGACAGAAAATCGTTCCAACCCCCCGTCGGCCAATAGGCTTGATCGTTCGTGCGTGAGTGTGCCATCTGATACCTACAGCCCGATAGTATTGTTGATCGATGCTATGTTGAGACAGACAATATATGCTTTCTTTCGCGCTGCTGCTGGGCTCTCTGAAAGGCTGGGTGCCGTGGTCGTTTGCCATGCAGGCGACATGGGCTATGCAAGTCGTATGTTGTCAACAGCGGTAGCTGTGTAGTTCGGAACACTGATGCATTACTGGATATAGACCTCCACCATGGTGGCATACATGAACCGCAGAGCGCAGTCACCTTGCTTCTTCTCGAGCGACCCGAAGCAAAGAGTTGCCCAGACTTTAGGGAACTATCGCCGCCAATACGCAACATGGAAGGACTACATGTCTAGTACTCAACAAAGTAGGTAAACACCATAGCCTTGCATATGCCTCCTCTCCAAAGAATGTTAATTTCTCATTTGAGATATTTCTGACATGATACGTCTGTATTAGTCCGATGCCCTGACATCGGCATCAAACGACTAGAAGCCTGTCACAGCCTACTGGTCGAGTTTGGCGAATTTGAAACCGCTACTCTGAGCCATTTGACCAACAATATTGAGCCTTCCTGCCAGCGCAAAGCTATACATCACTTCGCTTTGCAGGCAGGAAAGGTAGCCCTTTTTGCAGGTGCTTGCCTTGGTGTTGGAGCCCTCTACTGGTCTTCCCTCGCGTTGGCCTGCTGGGCGGCGGGTACTGCTACTTTAGGTGGGGTGTCCGCATGCTGTGGGTACTTTGACCCAAACAAAAGCAAGAGAGAGCAGGTCCAAAAAGGTCAGTCTCTCCGATATAATACCTGCTTCGATGTCTCTATCCTTCGTACTTACATCAAATTTGCATCTTGGCAGTACGCGAACTGTTCGATTCACTCAAGATGACTCTCCACATCGTCTACATCCGCATGTGGGCATCTTTCTATCAGGATGTTCTTAAGATACCTTTTGGGAACCTGAACAGAGAAGAAGGATATGAGCTTCTAAAATGCTGTGGAGTGGATATCACCTTTATCCAGGAGGTTGGGTATCGGAAAGCCCTAGAGGCGTCGACGGTGCGAGAGCTACATCATCATAACGAGACGTTTATGGACGCATTTCATGAGATGCTCAAAGCGGTTGGTGAGGATATAATTTTCCAAGATGTCCGAGGAGAATACTAAAAGATTGTTGCTTTTCTATGGCCTGTTGCTTCTATGAGACATCTGCTCCTGGATTCTGGGTTTGTGTTAGAAATACTACCATGATACATGGACTATTGTACATGTATGCAGTACGGTACAAAACTTGAGAAGCATTGTGATTCCTATGCGATCCTTGGAAGTAAGGCCGTTATCCCATTAAACGGCATGTTAGGTCATAAGATCTATATGCATTAGACCTGCTATAGTTAGCGCCATCTTCCTACATATAACCGCTTAACCTGTTGCTAATTCAGTTGCTAAGACGCTCTACATAGAAATACCCCACCCGACTTGCGCCATTGACTCAGTACTTGATATTTTCACCGCGCCCTACATGATGGGATCGTGTCAGAACACGGCACTAAGAAATGTCATTGTCGCCAGAAGAACAATTTGCGACCCCAAGCGCATACCCACCAACTGTTAAGCCGCATTCTAAGCTCGGGCTAACACCAATTGCAACTGCAACAACATAGACGCTGCAAAGGACGCCGCCTATGAATAACAGCAGCATGTAACGAAAGAGTCATCAATAAACAACTCTGAAGGCGTCTACCGTTTTCTTGTATGGGTTTGCAGCATCCAAGTATTTGTTCGTTGCGATATACCTGTTCCCAGACAGCCACGAAGAGCCGTTGGCAAATGGAACTATGAGACTGACTTGTAGTGTCGTAATATATTGGCTATCCCGCAGAAATTCAATACCCTGTTTTTCGATACCATGATGCCAATAACACCCAAGCATCAACGGCAGGAAATTGTAATTTTCTCTCCGCAAGGATAATTCGCAGAGATGGCTAGTGAGACAATAGGGTGAACTAGAGACATCGTATTTGGCATTTGGACAGAAAATGTATTTTGGATCATCGCAGGAACTCCTACCATGGATGTAGAAGTCACATGTGTATGTTTTAAACCCTCTTTGAGAGATATCTTTGAGGCAGACCGCAATGAAGTTTCCTAATTCACTGTGATTGAAATCAGTGACGACCACGATTATCTCGCTACTTTAAAAGTCATACCTCATAAAGTGGATCTATTTAGCCAAGCCGCCAACTATGTGTAAGAAAATGGGAGTAGTTGATGAGTAGGTATACCATGACCTCTTTTACGCCAATGGTGGAATAGAAGGAATACTGTTTTCACCGACTGAAGATCTTTCGTAGCTCATCAATTCGTATTAGAAATGATGACTCTTCCAGTTCTATATCCTGGACAATCCATTCTCCATCACATTTTATGCAGATCCATGTACAAGACACATGGCCTTGATCTAGAGCATTTTTGCGGTAGTCGTGTAGAACAGATGCCCGGCCCTCTTCTCTATCTCTGCGTCTCGAAAAGGATAATATTCGCTCATTTTTGAGTAGAATAATTTAGAAGTCTATTCGTGCCTTGGTAAAAGGATCAACGCATTAGGCGTTATCTTATGTGGATTCAAGCACTCTAAGGCACTGTATAGACGACAACAAAGGATACTTGAATAATAAAACTGGGCTGGGATTCTGGGCTTCCAGACATTGCTCGAATTTCTGGTAGGGGGTTGACGTTGACCTACTCAGCCTATGTCGGACAGTGAGAAATAGATCTCTGAGGCTGGAGCTCCTTCTCACACAAATCATTTGCTGGCATGTCACACCTCGATGTCAGGCAAGCAATGTGCAAGCATCTTCCTAGGAGTAACCGTAACCAATTTATGTGGCTAGCATGATGCGTGGAATAGATTCGTTGTATATAATTGGTGCGTTGCACTCGTGATCGAATAGCTAGTCTGTGATTGCAAGTCCTGGCAAGGCAGATAGATATTTTGGCTCGTCAAAACATTCCCCTACTATTATTTGGAATCATCCCCTGCTCAACGGCGCACAGTCTCCCATGAACATCATTGACGAGCACATGAGGAAAAGATTAAGAAGACGGTAAGTGTGATCTTTCGCCTGCTGACGGTTATAAGTAGTCTTGTTGTACTTCAGGTAGCAGTTTGCCAGTCTTGGATGTTTTGCGTGAGCTGGAATAGGTGTGCACCCTTCCGGAGGCTCTGCTCGGGAAGCGCTTCAGTTCTTTAGATTTAAGCTGGCTGGAGAGTGGTCAAGACATAGGCCGGTAATTGTAGCTTAGTAGGGCCGGAGACTAATGTAAACCAATATTGATGTCTGGGAGCGTAACAGAGTGAGATATGGATAAATGAACTTCAGTCTTTGGCACATCAAGTAAAATTGCACTTCACTGTCGAAATACGGTTTTCCGGCTAGATTTCATGCGTACCTGGAGTCAGGGGACTAACTCCCAGACAGTACGTGATACGTACTTCCTTGAAGCGCAGTTGAAAATCTAAACATACAGGATCAACGTCGGATCTTTTACACTAATTGTGTTCTAGCACTGATGTCATATCAGACTCAACGTTTCTTTGGAGGTAAAACAGAACTCTCTGGTGCTTGTGTCTATACTACTCGTAGCAGACAACTGTATGCCAACAGAACTTTTATGGTACCTGCTTCTCCATTACAACTAACATCTCATCTACCCTGCATCATCTTCCATGTATCCTTACCTCAACCATCGGGTTTACGTTATACCATTATGAAAGAGTTTTCCGATAAATACACTCTTCCGTATAGTATAAAGACATGAACTCTAAGATATTACTCCTTCCAAACGAGCTCATCACATCCATACTCGATCACCTGCCTTATTCCTCAACCATTCTATTACAGTGGACTTGCAGTCAATAACTGGACTTAACTCTTTTGCCTATTACAATTGTCTCAAGATATCATGTGCAGAATACTTCAACGCAATGATGAAGGGCAGGAAAGGGAAGATATCTCCATTTTCAGGTATAGTGGACCATGGTCGATTCTGTATCCCTTGTGGGTTGAGATCGGGCAACCACAGTCGTGGAAACATACTTCAACATGGTGGTACCACAGGTACATATGGGCTTATATGTTCCGGTTGCATATGTTTCAAAGCCGCTGGCAGTTTTGTGGACTGGAGGAACAGGAGGTGTTACATGTGCTTGATGTCCCAGCGGTGGCAGGCCACTAAAACTAGATATCTATCTAAGGTGAAATCCTGGCGATTATATTTAGCCTGGTCCTAACGCCCAAATCACTTCTAATACAAGCGCTGTATATATTTGAGCCCTTCCTATGAGCAAGCTGGAGCGGAATATTTGGTATGGATGCTTCAATATGATCATTATATATGTTGCTCCACGTATAGTACGCAGTTGCTGGAAGAACTTGTCACTTTCTATGAGTTGATTCGGTATGTCTCCACTGCAGCACGCGGTATGCACTGGAACCCTTTCATACAACCCATAAGAAGAGCCGTGAAGTATACATAAATCGTAGGACATGTGGCTATAAAAGTCCACGTCATGGTGTTGTATTTAAGATATTTAATCCTACCGTCGTCGTGACGTTGCCACCCAGCCGACTCGACAGACCAACTGTCTCTCCCGCTGTCTCTCTAATCTGGCCAAGCATCAAGTGCAAGACGGGTCCAATTCTGCCTAGAGTCCTGCGTGGTTTCCTCAATCTTTGAAGCAAGACCAATCGTTCAGATCTCTTGCGTCTTTTCACCCCTAAAACGTCTCCCGACCTTGTCGATAAAGTAGCTTGAAACATGGCTATTCCATTCAGTAAGAAGTAGGTAGATGCTCGAGTGCCTGTTATGTTTATACATTAACCAACAAGAAGCATTCTGACGGCTGGCATCGCGCACATAAATGTGGGGGTCGACGATACCCCATTTGATGTGCACTTAGAATTGCTATGCGACCATTCACCTTATTTTGATGAACTGTATGAAGACCGAACGGTGAAACCTCTTACAGACTTCACGATTAGTTTTCCAGACGATGACCCCGACGTATTCTCCCTACTCATCGGTTGGATGTATCGGGGTGAAATTGCTGAGACATCTTCTGCTCCTCGCACCAGTCTGTACTTGTTGTTTGAACTCTGGGTGCTTGCTGAGAAATTTAAGATGGTGGACCTGCAGAACAACGTGATTTCCCTCTGCAAAACGAGGATTGATGACAAACGTGGTACGATCTTTGGTGACCACACAATCGACTATGTCTACAATCGTACCCTGCCCAAGTCCCCCCTACGTCTACTTCTGATAGATACATGGGTACAATATGCGACTAAGTCGCGATTCTTGGGTAGGGAAAATCTTCCTCGTGAGTTCCTTGAGGAACTTTGCTGCGCTTTGATGGAGTGGAAAGAAGGCAAGATGGAAACGGTTGGCCACACAGATACCGCATGGCCCTATCTTGTGCACCCTTCCCCGTGGAAAGACAAGGCCCGGGAAACGCCCCTGCAAGGAGAGGAGTCGGAAATGATGCGACTTGCTACCCCAGACCAGCTAAAAAACAGGAAATTCAAGCGTCCTTCCTCACGTACTCACAGAGCCACTCCTACGCCTTCTCTGCAGGTCATGACGCCAACCTCCACAGACGCCGAGAAGGATCCTAGGGACCAAATTACTTCTGGCATGAGCTCCTTGCAGATTTGAGTCTCTCCTGTGCGCCAGATGAGCAGAATGGTTGGCACGGATGCTTCAAATAGGTATTTTGTTGATTCACACACACAGTATGCAGTGACACCCCGTACGCCAATCTTTTTGCGTGCGTGGATATTTCCCACAGGCATCTATCCTCCTGCTCGGGCAATTTTCCAAATCTTAGAAACATATTGCAACTGTCCTTTAGACTCAAATGTTATAAGCAAAAGTCTTAGTACGTAATAGTCTATACACCTGGCACTCGCGTCTGCGGGCCCACATACTAAGTAAGCCAGATGTCTGGAAACTTTTCCCAGGATACCTGCCAACAGCAACCAGATATACTTTGCAACGGAGAGGATCCGAAAACCTTGAGTGAAGGCTTATTCGGATACACTTCAGCCCCACCCGCTCTGGTGGGTCCGAACTGAAGTGGATCTGTTTGGCCAGTTACTCTTTCCTAAAGCATCGCCTGAGGTTTAGTTGCCGAATAGTACAACCACATCCGACATCTATGCTGAACGAGACTCCCAGACATCTGGTCTTGATGGAACACAGTGCTGATATCATATCGATCGTATCGTACGATACTCAAACACCTTCTACGAGTGATCAGTTCGAGAGCCGATTCTAGAATCTTGAATGCAGATTGCCATTGCCACCGTTGTCATTCGTCATATAGTCCAGTAAAATGGATTCCATTCCTGAATTGTCAGCTAAACCGATCCAAATCGACGGAACAGTTGCCCAAACACACATGGCATGATTCCATGGGACCACAGCTCAACCGGAAGAGTCGATGAACCTCTAGTTAATCGGCTCTGACCAAGTTGCCATGGGTTTTCATACTACCTGCCTCGCTAATTGTCCATCGATTGGTTCTATGACATGTTCGAGTATCAGCTTGCCACGTATTTATCGTATGACACATGCCCTAGGCGCTCTATGCTTTGTAAACGATATGAGGACGTAATCCCGCAGGTGGCACGGAGCATATCATCTATATCCCCAAGCCATGACATCAGAAAGGAGAGTCCAGTTATAAATATTGGCCAACAATCAGCCATTTTAGCTGTTCAGTATTGGATTTCTGGTTTGCTGTCGAGGGGCTGTTTCTCAAGCTGAGGCCTTCTTTCCCTACAGACCTATTATTCCGAGAGCTGAAGTATGCCGAGCTGGGTCCATCAGAGACGGGGTGATACGGGCAATATCGCTACCCCCAGAAGTTCGTCGGCCATGTCCACCACCCCAGTGATACCGGGCTTAGCAGCTCGCATACGGGGCCAGCATGGAGGGAACACGGCGCCCATCGTCCGTTCAGAGAAGGGGCAATTGCCTATGCTACACGTACCCCATACATTCCAAAATACCTTTGTTGCGGTTGTGGGAGAGTTTGTCGGAACTTTCATGTTCCTCTTCTTCGCATTTGCTGGTGGCCAAGTCTCCAATACCCCCAAGCCGGCTGAAGGTGCGCCACCAAATACCTCGAATCTACTCTATCTGTCTCTGGCCTCGGGTTTTCTCTCCTTGTAAATGTGTGGACATTTTACCGCGTGACGGGTGGCTTATTCAATCCAGTGGTATGTTCCTGCGCGAGGCCAGCGTTCATATACAAAATAAGACCCTTGGTCAGTGAAGTGATATTGATACGGATACTATTAATCCTTAGGTCACTCTGGCTCTCTGTCTCTGCGGAGGCATGCATCCCGTTCGCGGCATCCTCGTTTTTGCTTCTCAAATCGTGGCGGGGATTGCATCAGCCGGTGTAGTCAGTTGCTTGTTCCCAGGAGCTCTGAGCGTTCAGACCAGGCTGGGCGGTGGCACCTCAATCTCCCAGGGCCTTTTTATTGAAATGTTCCTGACGGCACACCTCGTCTTTGTCGTGATTATGTTGGCGGTAGTGAAACAAAAGTCCACATTTCTTGCGCCCGTCGGAATTGGCCTGGTCCTCTTCGTGAACCAATTAGTCGGTACGTGTGTCTGGATCGTCCACAGAGACACGCATGCAAGCTAAATATCAAATTTAGGGACCTACTATACCGGCTGTGCGCTTAACCCCGCCCGTGCCCTTGGCCCGGACGTGATCAACCGCAGCTTCCCAGGATATCACTGGATCTACTGGGTAGGACCACTCCTCGGGTCCCTCCTTGCCTGTGGATTCTATGGCTTTCTCAGCATGTTCCATTACGAGACCGTGAACCCAGGCCAGGATTTTAATCAGTGGGAGGCGGCTGCGGGCCCCGGCCCGTGGCACGAAGAAGTGGCCTGGCACGCCGCCGGTGGGCCCAACCCATCACGCTTACCAAGCCATCAGCCAGCCCACCATCCAGACAGTACGGCGAACACGGATAACAGCAGTGGACCGGCCGATAAAGAATATAGTAACGAACAAGTGTGAAGTGGGGATTACCAAAGGGCTACCATCCCTACAGCATCCGTGCATTGGACTTCCGCACATGTGGATGTCCACCGTAAGTTGAATCTAACTCTTGGGGCATTTATTGGATGGTTAGAACGCGTTTGCCTTCACAACTTAAGGGCAAATCTAGTGCCCTTCTGCATATAATACTGGTCATCAGTTCGGACATGGAGGATTTTGATATTGTGAGGGCGTGAGATCCAGGCAAAACACGCTCCCAACCGGGGCAAACGGTCAGATAATTCCGAATCCACGGCTCAGAATATCCTGGGTCGCACTCATATAGTATATATACTGCCGTTACAGACATCTTTACTTATCACCGAAACTCTTTTCGATACCTCACTATTGTATAGTAGTCTGTAAGCTAGATTTATTTAGTCCGTCGTAGTAGTAGCCCACACACACACACCTTTCGTAAGAAAGACGAAGTAACTCCATAGTAGCCTAATAGGATAGGTTCTATATGTATAAAAAAAAGCAAAGAAAAGAAAAGACAAAATAGAAGTAGAAGTAGGGCTAGCTCACTCACAGCCCTAGGTCAGAAGAATAGAAAAGACCAACACAACATAAACTACCGCTACTCGCAATGACATATATGCCTGAGAACGCCTGAACTTAGGGTGACATAGAGCTGAGCCTTGCCAAGGGACTTTGGTCCATTAGAAATTGCTATAAATACTAGATCACAGCGATATGACTTCTGTTAAGAATATTTCCGCTTTGATTTAGTTCGTTCTTCTGCTCCCCGTAAGAGTTGCTGCATGGTTGGCCAGCTCCCTCATAGCCAGCCTACAGGTTACGTTATGAGAAATTCATCCATAGACTCAAGAGCTACTAACATCCTTTTTTCAGATCTCATTTCAGCCTTTCTTTCAATTATACCTGACATGTTCAAAAGTATGTCCAGGGAGTCAACCATCGCACGAGGCGAAGTGAGTGGCAATAGGGGCCAGAAATGCAAGAGTTAGGCGCCCCCTCCCGGTGCACTCGTTAATCCATTACTACTAGGGAATTAGGCGATGCTTTTTCCTTGTGTTGCCTATAAATATGGAGGCTGTCCTCGCCGGTCTCGTCCTGACAGTGGCAGCCAGTGTTAGCCTCTTCGGATAAAATTTGCTAATAGTCTCCTCATACGCTGCCTTATAATTACTGCTTGGTCCAAAGTTTGGGAAAGATAAAACTTGGTTTCATTTTGATTCGATCATGTAAATATACAGGACTCTCAGCAAAGGATGCATGTTTATTCATCGCTAAGCTGTTCTGCATTCTGGCTGGCCTGTACTAACTTCCCGTCTCATCGCAATGGAACCCAGCAGAGACATGAATGGGCGGTTGACGCACGTCTAATTCTGCAGATGAATATCAGTCAAGAGCCTGTTTTCGTAATCGTATACTTTCATCTGAGAATAGCCATTGGCAAAAACTGCGGTCCAGAGTCTTGGCTCGGAATATGCTATTAGGTTGTTAGCCGGATGAATGCAAAAAACAGCTATACGAAGTAGAAACATACCAGCGGTTAGGGGAGAGGAGGCACAGTCGATTATGATCCAATGTTCAACCTCATTCTCCTTCAGCCAGGGATGGTACTTCCCTCCCTCCTTGAACCGAGAGATATGTTCATTGACCCGATCATGATCCCGAAGCAACTCGATCGCCCACTGCTTCCCTGGAATATAAAAATCAACTCGCCCATCACCGGTCCTTGACCATTCACTGCAGATCGGAACACCCCGGCCTGCCACAAGACTGAACGATCTGTAGAATTCGTCCTGATATTGTGCCTCCAGGGGTCTGTATTTTGCTGCGGTGGAGATTTTCTTGCCCTGAACAGCATGTCTCAGGTTCATTGTCGAAAATTTACTGAGAACCTCCAGGCATAGTTCATCTAGCTTGTTGAATCTCGCGGGCAAAGGCCTCGCCTTTTTGCCGATGATATACTCAAGCCATCTAAGACAGGGTCAGATTAAGACAGAGAATATCGCATAAGAACTTACTTCTCATGCAAGCGAGACGGCAGCACAGCAACGTCATGTACCTCCATGTCTCCCCAAGGCATCCGTTGAACCCAGCCTCTCTCATAGCATTTCCGTAGGCCCACATCATTATCATCCCATAGCATATTTCCCTCCAGTAAAATCTTGCTTAAGGTTTCAGAAGCTTCATGTGTCAGATGCGTTCCCGTGGGAAATGAGCGAGAAACACCCGTATTCCTGACATACTCAAAAACTTGAGCATCATCCTTCAGATCATCAAGAACATGATCTTTCGTGATTGTACCGATACGTCCGTGTTTGAGATCATGACGATGCTCCTAAACTCGAGTTAGTTGCATAAGCAAGCCTAAAGCTTATCCGTTCGCTTTCTGGGGTGGAATCAAGAACGGCACATACAGATTGAAGAAAATCGACTAATGATTTCACCCTCCGGGATGCCCATTTGTGAGCTCGTATAAGTAGCCCATCGCCTCTGCATCAATTGTGAACTCTTCATCATATCTATTCATAGTCAGAAGTGACACAGCTTCATGAAACTCATCTGGCGTATAGAATAAACCGAGCTTTGGCGAATACTTTTCCGGTTGAGGGGTCAATGTTATGCGTTGCGCGGGGCCAAAGGTAGCTGGAGTATAGTATACGTGATCTGCATCCACGCCTGTCCGAGGGCTTCCGTAGGAACAGAAAAGACAAATCTTTATCATCGCACCTCTGCCATCCCTTCGCTCTTTGATGATGGTGTTCCAGAAGGAAATGTCCTGGTACGAACCCTGGGCCTCATCAACAATAATCACAGTCCCTTTATCAAAAAAGTCTGTAGCACTCGATGTTCGATACCTTTCTTGCAAGAGCGAGGCGAATTGAGTCCAAGGGTCACCACCCTCGCAACTGTCCAGCGGCTTCCATGTCTTGAGTAGAAACACCTTCCTCTTTTGCTCGTGGTAGTAGTCCCTGAGAAGTTCGGATAGGACAGTTTTCCCGCTGGCTGGTGTTCCACGTACGTGGATGACATCTTTGTCATCCACAGCGGCTGCAAGCTTTGATACTGTATCCCTGCGTAAACATCTCGTAGGGTCACTAGTAGTTAGCCCTGCTCACCAACGTGTCAGCTCTCGATATAGCCTCCGAGGGGACCGGATCTCACACTTACGATGCATGACGCGCTGTCGCGTATGATCAGAGTTGCCAGCAGATGCTAAGATATCCGTCGGAGATGACTTGGAACCAAAACTCCGGTGTAGTGATAGGAGATGGTCACAGTCCTCGCATGTCCCTTCAAGGGGTGATCCTGGTGTCACAGTGAAAATCCCTTGTGTACATGGACACGGGATCTTCAATTTGCCCGACTTGCAGGTTGCTGTACATGGGCCTGCGGCCAATGTACGAGCGGTCGAAGTATGCTTGATGTCCGAGGGAGGACTCGAAGGAGAAGTGAATAATCGAGAAGATGGGGAGGAGAGCATGCTTGCGATTTTTGGCGGGACGAAGGATGGATGGATGGATGGGACCGAGTAAAATAGGAGGCCGCCACCGATACACCGGCTAGGCAACCAGTACGACGTGAAGGCTATCAAATAGGATCTGGCGTGGAAAGGCACTGGATAGTAGAGATAGAGGACTTTAGCTGTCACCCTGGATATGAGAAAGGAGAAAGGTCGGGATATAAGGAGTGGTTGCAAGAGGCATAAGTGAATGAAGCTAGACACTGCTCATCTCCTCGTAATCCGTTCGATGACAATGCGGCCGATCAGGTGGCTATCCCGAACGGGGTCCAACCAACCCCCTCACTGTCCCATTGATATGGACTGAATAGAGGAATATATCCAGAGAGACTGATTCTTATCTTTTAATACTAATATGTCACATTGCCCGGAACCTCGATTGAGTCCTCCGTAGAAAGTTCACATGGAGAGCATCTTCTTGAACGCATCAACTAGTGTGTCGTGGCCCCTTTCAATCCCAGTGAAGTCGTTCATATCTTGCTCCAAAATGCCATCAGGTAGAAAGGACCATGTCATCTCTACAAATTTGTCTACCAAATTCAAGGGGAGGAATTTCGAAAAATAGGCCTTCAGCTCATCTCTCTCCACAAGTCTCACCTCTACCTTCTTGCCTGTTACCTCTTCAAATGCCCTTTGGACATCAGAAGTAGAATACTCTACAGGCCCATGCAGTTTGAAGATATGAGGACTAGCCTTCAACGCTGATCCGGCCTGCAAAAGATGGCGAGCGCAAGCCTTTCCGATATCGTTCGCAGACACCTAGATCGAATTCGCTTAGCATGTTTCACAGTGCAACTGACGTTGAATGGCAATCTCACCATTGGCATCTTATAGTCTATGGGTGTTACTGTTGAGTAAAAGAACGGTGGATCGGCCGTTAGAGTCGCCAGGGCATCCCGCCAGTTTTCCATAAAAAATCCATTCCTAACAAGGACAACTTCCGGTGCGGCGTACTCGAGGATTCTCTCACTTTCATGGTTGGCCTGGACCTCTCCCTATCATCTTGTCAGTGATAGATATCTATATGGCGCCCTTTATCTGGTGAGGACTTACCACACCGCTAGCGAACTGCGCCCCCATACTAGAGATATAAACTAGTCGTTTGACCGACTTGGCCTTCACCACCGCATCTCGAACATTGCTTGAGATTGCTTTAGCCTGAGCGACAAAGTCTGACCCATCCAAACACGGTGGTGTCAATGTGAGGACAGCATCAGAACCGGTAAAGTCCAGGGTGTCTCTGTCTTTCAGGTCACCCCGAATCGCCTTGAAGTTTCGGTGCGACCTGAATTCAGCGGGGACTTTATTTAGGTCACGATAAATGCCAATGACAAGAGGGGCGGAGCTATCGCATAACAACGCCTGGATGGCAGCCCGGCAAGTTTGTGGGGAGGCAGGGGCAATCGTGATCTGCATTGTAGCGATATAGTTAGGTACTGTAAAGGGTTCCTCTGTAGGGGGATGAGAATGGAAGGTAACGCTGAACTCAGAGAGGTTTGGTCCCTGACGAGGGGATTTATATAATAATACCCATCTTTAAAAATCTGTTTTATCCTCATGGGAATTTCGGTAATGGACATGGACTCCCACCTGACTGCACTGTTTCAGGCAGACTCAGTCTCGCCCAACCATATCTGCTATTCTGGACGACAAGCTGGCAGCTTAGGGAATTCCACTATGGAGAAAAAGGAATCAAAACCCGCGCCTGGCCATACCCATCAAGCAGTCAACCCGCTTGACATGACTCAGCGGATACGGAGCCAATCCAAAAGTCCACTCTTGGCGTGGTCCGGAACTCGGAACAGAATTACTATTGACATGGCTAGAACTGAGTAAGATTCTCTAACTAGGGTTGGGGAGACTATCCGGGGACTGGGTAGTGTTAGCAACAATAATATAAAAAATCCAAGTGAGCTGCCAAACCACGGCAAAGGTTGAGATACAGGCGCAGCTTAGCCTGGTTAGACAAAGTTGCCAAGAAATCTCGAACCACAGCTGATGATCAAGCTCGCCATTATTTGTCTTCTGCAGCATTCTATCCCCCATCGCTACACAAGCAAGGCCAAACGGACCCTCAATTCATTTTCTTCAGATACTACTTGACAATCCTTAAATTCAAGGAGACTATTCTCCAATATATATTCTTGCTCATTTCGGCGAGCCAAGTCACGCAGAGTTTCTAGTAGTTATATATAGTATGTACGGTTTGCAGCTAGTACCCAGTCTACGATCTGGAGAGCATCTTATATAGGAGTGATTTGCACCCTTTGAAAACTGCTACTATCTTGGGTCTAGATATTCTGGACTTTCGTTGTTCAGCTGATAAGTATCTGACTATTCTAAATCACTTAATCGCCCATTGATTATGACCCCAGGAGTAGCGACGTCGAACCAGCCACTATTAAGATCTCCTTTGGGTCTGTCTAAAGAGCGATCTAAGATTGTGGAATGTGTCCACAGCCCGGTATACGCCTATACTTCTGATTACCTCAGCCTTGGCTTATAAGTTAGTTAATTGGCCAACTGAGGCCCCCAGCACAGATCTTCAAGGCTTGGTTCCCAACAGCCCAGAACATCGTCCTTCACAAGCGGCCCTGCATAGAACCCCCAAAAAGGACCCTTACATTCATGATTGAAATTTAGGCATCATCTAACAGCAAGGTTGCCTACCAGCATATCAATAGAGTTCAGGCCAAAGACAAAAGTGCTCACCGGGGATTGCTTCCAATATAAAATGAATGGAATCATCCTGGGTGTCCTGGGTGTCACTCAACTCCAGGTACAGGTTAGGTGAGCGGGACACATAGAGCGATGTTAGAACGTCTTGGAACATAAAAACGCGTTGTTCTTGATCGACTCTAGTAACCCGATAGGGTTGTTTCGTTCCAATAGAGTCTAGCTTGCATTCGCTGCCCTCCTCGCATACAAGGGTCATGGAGGAGTTCAAAGGGGTGATCCCAGCTTCGTCATCGTTAAAGCCCTCGGTGTCAAGTATCCAGGACCCGGACTAGGAATCAATCAGGTTGCCAAATCGCACAGATGTTTCACTATAGTGCAATGACAATGCATCACCGCCAAGATCTTGCTTGATTTTTTCCTTCATCACCAGGCCGTAGGTCGGGCAAGAGAGAGAGCGGCGAGGAAGCCGGCCAAAAAATAGAAACGCATCATGTTGTCCGATAGAAGAGTAGGAAGATACCCCATAGAGTGAAATTATAGTTCAATAATGCGAGGGCTCGGGGACACCGATCTGATCCACATTTCACCAGAAGGGGACCAAGCGGTGGGAGCTGGATGCTGTAGAAAATCATATCTACCATCGTAGCCTTTATGGTAAGTACATACTAAGAAGTTGTGAAGGTACACTCGGCGATCTAGGCAATGTAGCTAGTTTACATGTAGAAGATGTAGACTAATAGTGCTGGGAATCTCCGCTCAACCCCAGCGACAAGTCGAACCGGACAATTGGGTTATGCAGCTTCAGAAAGACTCATACGGCTGAAGCTGGGGACGCGGGCCAAATCTTTCCTTGCCCCGGCTGGACAGATCAGGTCAATAGTCCCCAAAGATCGGGGAAGATCGACGGCTCCATCTGGCTCTTGGCTGATCCGCAACTCCAGGTCTGCAGTGACGAGCTCTCGACAGCCTTTAGTGGCGGAAATCGTATGGCCCACAGAGAACCTTGCTTCGGAGGTTCCCGACTCCGATTGTTTGCATGGATCGCGAAGGCACTTATATACCAGTATGCAATAGGTATATGGGGAATGTATTAATGCACGAGTGGGGCAGGCCTGCATTCGCTACTCTGGAAGACGGATTCCTCCGTCGTTACCCAGTAATGAGCAAGGTTTATCATTCCGATGTTCTTATAAGAGCGACAGATCCGCCCGAATGTATTCGCTCAACAGTACCCAAAGATTCCCTCGCCTTCTTTAATGAGCAACCCATGAAAGCTGAACGATTCACGATGGTCTCTTCTAAATTTATCGCGCTCGCCATTGTCTCCTGCGTGGCTCCCGCTCTGGCAGCAGAGAATGTAAGTTCAACCAATTCAACACCCCTAGCCTGCTTCCTTGAATAATTGGCTAAGTGCGCTCTCCCTCCCCTAGGCCATCCTTTACTCGCAAGAGCCTTGTGCGGGTGAAACAGCCCCGATCGAGCCAAACAACAAATGTACTCTCGTGCCGGAAACATTGTACGTCAAACCCGAAGGTTGACAACACAGAGTGGCACTAATGGCACCAATTAATAGGGCCGGAAAAGTGGTCGGGGTGAAAGTAACTGGAGATGTTGTGTGCAATTTCTATCGGTGAGTCATCCGACTTCCCAATCTTGATCGATATAATATGAGATGAAGGCGCTGATATTTGGTATAGGGATAAGGAATGTAAAGAGCCAATCTTGTATTCCGTGGAGGAGCCTGGTATCTGCCAATTTAGCGAGTGGGATGTCCATGGACAGAAAGTTAGCAACGTTTCAGCTAGCGTTCTTTGCTACGATAGTAGTGTTGAGGAGTCGTGAGATGCTGGCCTGCAACATAGTATCCATAAGTGAATAATGAAAGGGTTTCAATTGTATGTGTTGTTAACATGAGGAAAGTGTCGTCTCATGAAAAGTACAACTTCGTGCATAGACTATTGATATGTGCGTTGAGATATTCCCCACCACGATTCAATCGAGGTTAAAAATGATGCTGATCCGTCGATCAACTCGGTTGTTGGGAAATAAGTTATGGGGCATCTGTTCGGACAGAATACGCCCTTCATGTGATGGCTCACATATTCCCATTCTTCACGATGGCCCTTTGGGCACAGTCTACTTCATCCATAGATGATATAGCTAGATATATATTGTTTAGACGGAGAGGACCGGTAGCAGAAGTTGATGATGTTGACCCTAGCTTAACTAACTACTATGCTTACTTCGGGCCGAGATTGAGGATGTCGTGTACCTGCGATTCTGTCATCATTATAGAGCAGTGATCTAAAATAGATTTCAAGTTTATTCTCTAGGAGTCAACTCACAGGGAGGATCGAGGTATAACTACGGACGTAAACTACTGTATTGGCGGGATATGCAAGATAGTGTATCTCAAATAGCGAAAGTATATCAATCCGATAGAGAAGAGAACGTCAAGTAGCCAAAGGAATGTCATATCTCGTCACATCATCAAAGAATCCATGCACCGGGTCTGTTGTGCCCAATGCTAAACGCCAATATTAAAACACGATCTACGTAAAACCCAAAAAGACCGAAATGTGGTAAAAGAAAGACAAGAACACGCTCAAATCTTGTCAATGACAACCACCCGTTCCACGACCCAATCCACAAAGGCTTGTCCTTCCATCTTCCACCGGCCCTCCCGCCACACTTCATCCACCCAGTAGGCAGATTCTTCCCTTGACCCGGCAATGACAATCCGCCGGCTGATTTGTTCTGTCGTGAGAAGGACCGGTTGACTTGAAAAGACCGGACTCCGACGCTGGCCATGCCTTGCCGCATGCGCCATTCGCGTTCGGCTTTCTCGCCCGCACGACGCGCGACAGCTTCTTCGTCTTCGTCTTGGTAGAGCTCGCATTTGTTGCACTCGGTACAGCGAGCCCCTGGGTTGATGCGAAAATGTTCGCAGAAATGCTTGTAGCCCTCTGGTTCTTCGAATTCTTCGTCATCGATGTTTTGGTCGGCGTGCTCTGCTTCGTTGGCTGGGTTGATGTTTTCTTGTTGACGTTGCCTGGGGCGGAACCATTGTGGGGCTTTGGATGGGGGGCTGAGGCCTTTGCGACAGAGGTAACACATGGAATACCCGCAGACGCAGGTTAATTTGTTGCAGCCGGAGGATTTGACGAAGGACAGGCCGCAGCGAGGACAGGTGCGTTTCACTGCAGCCGTGCGAGCGGCCTCCACAGTGGCTCGTAAATCGAGCAAGAGTGGTTCAAAGCAGACATGCGGGTCCCGCCATGGCTTTTGGCAGGTTATGCAGCTGACGCGTTGACATAATGGGTTTGCGCAGGTGAATCTCTTCGGCCGCACCTTAAGACACAAGTTTAGGAAAGAGTTGCGCAGGAAGTTCTGAACGGTGGAAGGATCTAAAATGTAGAGAATGATCACGGGAATGAAGAGCAAGGGTATCGTGTCTAAGATGATGATGGTAAGTATAATCGTGGAGATGATCCCATCCCGACGAAAGCGCCAAGTGATCCCCTTCGCCGAGGGATGATAGACTGAATCGACCTCCGCGTACGAGCAAAAGGGGCAGCGAATGAGCTTCAGCTGGGACTTGAGAAGAGCATCTGAAGCCAGCCGACCTTCAAACTTAAGATAAGTCTCAATTCCGCCCTTGTCAAGGAGGATGGCTCGTTTGACGACCTCCGGATGCAAGCTCCCATTACAGCCGTCATGGGCGAACGGGGTCAAACACTTCAGAGTCGAACGCTCTACATCGATTGATTTCCCCCAACCCTGACCAAACAGCGCCTCCTGGACCGTCCGCCGGATACAATCATAGCAGATGATATGCATATTATCCGAACAAGTCGAGATCTCCTCGAATGTCACATCGGATAAACAGCACTCGCATTCGTAGAGCGCAGCTGCTGCCTTGGCCTCATCCTGATTCAGTTCCTCCGCCAACC